CTTTTATCTTAGCAGCTGCTTTAGCTTATCAGTCTACCTTCAAGTGATATTATACCACTTAATGTATAAGAACTTCAAAGTACTAATAGCACAGTGGACTGGTTCCAGGAACCACTGAACATAACCAAATCCACAGATGTTCAAGTCCCTTATATAAAATGGTGGATTTGCATATACCCTATGCATACCTCCCACATATTTTAAGTTATCTGTAGATTACTTATAACTAATACAATGTAATGCTGTGTAAATAGTTGTTACACTGTATTGTTTTTGTTGTTATATTATTTTATTTATTGAGACAGGGTCTTTGTTGTTCAGGGTGGAGTACACTGGCACAATCTTGGATCACAGCAGCCTTAACCTCCAGGGCTCAAGCAATCCTCCCATCTCAGTCTCCTGAGTAGCTGGGAATACAAGTGCACCATGCCTGGCTACCTTTTTTATTTTTTGTAGAGATAGGGTCTTGCTGTGTTGCATAGGCTGATCTTAAGCTCCTGGGCTCAAGTAATCCTTCTGCATTGGTCTTCCAAAGTGCTGGGATTACAGGTTTAAGCCACCATGCCCTGCCTCAAATATTTTTGATCTGTGGTTGACTGCATCTACAGATGTGGAATCCAAGCATATGGAGGGCCAAGTGTATTTCTGATTCTCTCATCCCACCCTTTATGCTACTACTGTCTTAAATTCTCATTTTATTTATATTAAAAATTCTTCTCTGTATCATTATTTTTGTTTAAGTTGTTTTAGTTTGCTAGTGCTGTTGTAACAAAGTACCATGAACTGGGTGGTTTAAACAATAGAAATTTATTTTCTCATAGTTCTGGAGGCTTAGAAATCTGAGATCAAGATTTTGGGAAGGTTTCTTCCTTCTGAAGGCTGTGAAGGAAAAATCTAATCAATGCCTCTTGCCTTGTCTCAAGTGGTTTGCTGGCAATCTTTGGTGTTCTTTGGTTTGTAGATGCACCTCCCCGATCTCTGTGTTCATCTTCATGTGAAGCTCTCTCTGGGTGCTTGTTTCTGAGTTCAAATTTCTCTTTTTTGTAAGGATACCAAAATCATATTCAACTAGGGGTCACTCTAATCACCCCTGATTACTTTTGTAAAGCTATTTTCAAATAAAGTCACATCTTTAGAGTTAGAACTACAACATATCTGTTTTAGGGTGACAGAATTCAACCCAAAACAATAGTAAATTATCTCTAAAGAGTTTAAACAAGAGAAAATCTTATTTTTATTTGTATAGTTATCACTACTAGTATTCTTCATTCCTTTGTGTAGATCCATATTTCTACCTGACTAAAGCACGTCCTCCTTGACATTTCTTATGATACAAGTTGCTAATATTGATGTATTTCAGCTTTCATATGAAAGATATTTTGGCTGGGTATAAAATTCTAGGTGACTTTTTTCTCTCAGTACTCTAAGCTTTTAAGACTTTATCACTAGTTTTAGAAGTCTAATTATGATATTCCTTGGTGTAATTTTCATGTTTCCTTCATTTGAGATTTGTTGGGCTTCTCTGAATTTGTGAGTTAACAGCTTTCATCAAATTGGAACGTTATTGGCCATTATTTTTTCAAATTTCCCACCTTCTGGGAGATTCTAATTATGTTTATATTTAGCTGCTTAGATTTGTATCACTGATGCTCTTCTATTTAAAAAATTTTTTGTTTCATTTTGGATAGTTGCTATTGTTGTAACTTCAATTTACCTTTCATTCTACAACATCTAATATGCAGTAATCCTATCTGGTATGTATTTTCACATTACACATTGTAGTGTCTGTCTCTAGATGATAGATTTGGGTATTTTAAGAAACCTCCCTGGTTTTACTTAGCTTTTTATACAGTTTTGATATGTTTTAATAAAATAAAACCATATTGAAGCATAACACATATAGGAAAGAGCACAAACTGTAAATGTTTAGTTCAAGGAATTTTTCCAAACTGGATGATCTCTATTTTAATGTCCTTGTTTCTATGTCAGTTCAGAGTTGGTCACTGTTAGCTGATTCATCTCTATGGTTCCTATTTTCTTACTGCTTTGCATGGCTGTAATTTTTTTTGGATGTCAGACATGATGAATTTTACCTTGGTGGGTACAATAGCTATAGATTGCTATACATATTCCTGAACTGTGTTCTGGGATGTAGTTAAGATACCTGGAGACAATTTGAACTTTTTGGGTCTTGCTTTTAAGATCCATTATGTGGGACTAGAGCAGTGTTTATCTAAGGCAAATTATTCTCCATTATTGAGGTAAGACCCTTCTCTGTGTACTCTATTCAATGTTTGTGAATCTTGAGTATTCCAGTATAGCTGATGGGAACAGGTACAATATTAACACTTCCCTGTGTGAGTGCTGGCCACTATAACCTCTAATCCTTTCAGACAGTAGACAGTACCTTCTTGAGTCTCATGTAGTTTTCTCATATACATGTATGCTTATCTATACTCAGCTGAGTATTCAAAGGGGACCTTTTGCAGCCCTCTGGCGTTTTCCCTCTATGGTTTGCTTATTTTCAGTAGACTATTCTAGAAATTCTAGCTGCCTTGGTCTCCTACGACTCTCAATGCCATCTTTACAACTCACGAATCACCTAGACTCTGCTTGGGTTTTTCTCTGTGCTACATCCTGGAAACTCTCAAGGCAATATCCTAGAGTAATTGTAGGGCTCATCTCATTTGTTTTCCATCTCTCAGAGCTCACTGTCCTTCATTATCTGATGCACAGTATCAAAATTATTTCGAATATTCAGTCCACTCTTTTTGTTGCTTCAAGTGGGGGAAGATGATAAATCTAGTCTATGTTATCCCATCTTGGCTGGAAGAGTTAGTCCCTTTAGTCTGTTTTAAAGTTAGTTAAAATTAGTTACAGAATTCTGAATTGTGAAACTCTCATTCTACTACTTAAGTTACTAGCAGTTTTTTGTCTTCCCTAGTGACTATACAATTCAAAGTTTATAGCCCTATCCATAAATAGATTTAATATTAAGCTTAAGGATCAAATCAAATGGTCATGATGTCTCAGCAGTCCCTGAAGAACATCTCTCATGTGTGTCTTGAGGAAGGAAGAGAAGAGAATCCATGCATGAAGCCACTTGGGCTTTAAAATTGTAGTTCCTGGCGGCACAAAAATTCTCTGCAGTGGTTAAGCTAAGAACAGTGATTTTAGCATAGAGAAACAGAAGTATAACAGTAATGGTTTTAGGACTTGGTTGTTCCTCAGTGTTACTTATATAGATTTAATCTATTTAGTCATGCTCATCAAAATGATATGTAATTAAAGAAATGTCTCATATGAACGCTGAATCTTCATGCAGGAACTTTTTCAGTAACAACAAGCACTTATTTAGCAGGCACTATTAAGAGGTACTATGCTTGGTGCTTTACAACATCCTATAAAATGTGGTCCACTACTAATTCTGTTATACAGATGAGAAAACTGAGGATCAGAGACTAGAAAATGGTGATGGAGAGGTTCAAACCTAGGTTGGAAGTATGAGTCTATTCTTTTATTTAAAAAGTATTAAATATATTAGGCACTCTTCTAGGTTCTGGGAATACAGCAGTAGAGGAAAAAAAATCCCCAAGGAGTTTATACTCTAACCCATACTTTAACATTATATTTTGTTAACATTTAAATGCATTTTGTAAAAATTTTTGTGTTTGGAGGTCTAACAATAGTAAAATGGTAAACATAATGAATTTATGTTATTCTGGAAAAAATCTAACTTGTTCTGATATAAATAATTCACCAACCTTTAAAAAATGCCTTTAACACAAACTCTTGGCATCACACGGTTAAGGTAAAAGAAAGTTCAAGGTGGCCAGGTGCGAAGGCTCATGCCGGCAATCCCAGCACTTTGGGAGGCCGAGGCAGGTGGATCACCTGAGGTCAGGTGTTTGAGACAAGCCTGTCCAACATGGTGAAACCCTGTCTCTATTAAAAATAAAAAGTCAGCTGGGCATGGTGGTGCATACCTGTAATCCCAGCTACTTGAGAGGCAGAGGCAGGAGAATCGCTTGAACCTGGGAGGCAGAGGTTGTAGTGAGTTACCATGCCACTGCACTTGAGCCTGGGCAACAAGAGTAAAACTTCATCTTAAAAAAAAAAAGTTCAAGCTGGTTAAGGAGGTGATCCTGCTTCACAGAATTAAAATGATAGTGTCATAATGACTGACCCACAGGAACATTCTCAAAGGAAAGGATAGTATCTATTATTTATTAAGTTCCTATAACGTACCAGGCCAAATGTTAAGTAGTTTCATCGACTCAAGTACAAACAAGCTGGATTTAATAAAATCTGACTGACGCCAAAGCCCCTGTCTCTTTCTACCATTCCATAATGGCTCTGTAACACTGTATATTTCAGAAAGAGATGCATTAAAAAAAATAATAAACCAAAGACAACAAAATGCAAAACCCAAACACAACAGCTATGGGGAAGTCTGTAATCTGAATTGAGATGGAGTCTCACTGTGTTGCCCATGCTGGAATGTAGTGGTACAATCTTGGCTCACCACAACCTCCAACTCCCGGGTTCAAGCGATTCCCCTGCCTCAGCCTCTGAAATAGCTAGTATTTCCAGGTGCCTGCCACCACACCTGGCTAATTTTTGTATTTTTTAATAGAGACAGGGTTTCACCATGTTGGCCAGGCTGGTTTTGAATTCCTGACCTCAGGTGATCTGCCTGCCTCAGCCTCCTAAAGTGCTGGGATTACAGGCATCAGCCACTGCGCCCAGCTGAAGCGTCTTAATTCCAATGATTTTATTATAACATAGTTCTAGACTATGCCTATTTAGATGACAAAGAAAATAAAGACAAAATTGGTTAAATGCTCAAATTTTCATAAAATTTATTTAGGTTTGAATAGAAATCTCTTCTTGTTGGGTACACAGGAAATATATTTGCTATTTTAGGGATGCAAAGAAAGTGCTTTTCTTTGTAAATATACATGTTAAATATTGAAGTCTGAAAACAAAACTATGCATACCTCTACAGCAGGTACAATGTCTATGCCAACAGTTAGAAATTCTTCAAACTTCAGAAATGGGTTAAAGCAGCTGCCAACATCAAGTAATCTGATTTTTCCTGAGGCTTGTAGCAACCTAAAAACAGATATTTTATAAGAACAAAATCAAATATGAGAATATAAGAAATCATGTAGATTATTGGTTCTTTAACTTTTTGGACCCTTTTACACATTTAAAAATTACTAAGGGCCCCAAAAGCTTTCACTTCTGTGAGTTGTATCTATTAATAATCACCATATTTGAAGTTAAGATGAACAAGTCTTAAAAAATATTCATTTATTAGACTTAAAAGGATAGTAAAAAAGTACAGCCATGTTTTATATATATTTATTAACAAAAAAAATTGAGACAAGGTCTTGCTATATTGCCCAGGCTCGTCCTAAACTCCTGAGCCCAAGTGATCCTTCAGCCTCAGCCTCCCAAAGTGCTGAGACTGCAGGCATGAGTCACTGTACCTGGCACTTCCATGCCCCCCTTTTTAAAAAAATATATTTTTTCAATTCTCTATTGTCTGGCTTAATGGAAGACAAATTTACACTCAGGCTGTTGCAATATCACATGGTATATAGTCACTGGAAAACTTCATTCTACACTCAAGATAAAGTGAGAGTAAAAAATGAGAATCTATAACAATATGAATTACTATACATACTACTAAATATTCTAAACCTTAATTGGGCTATGGTTAAGAACAAGAGTTCTGGAATCAGAAAAGCTAAGATCATAATCTGATTCTGACGCTTAACATGTAATACAGGGATAACAGTGGTAGTCACCCTTAGACTTTTTTCCCAAATTAATAATATATTTAATACTTGACCCCATGGCTAGTACATGGTAAGTGCTCAAACAGTGGTAGATATCATTGTTCACTATTACCATGTTATATAATAAAATTTTTGTGTTTCTTCCACTAATGATCTTCCAAAGCATAGTAAAAGCAGAATTTGCTATATGCTAAGTTCTGTAGGATAGATTCTAGTAAAATGAGTAGCAATACATGTCTTAGTCTTAAAAAATAAATGCTTCTTATAAATTGAATTTTCTATCTGGATGAAGTATCCTAAACCATTCAAGTTAATTCAACATTATGGAGCAATCACCAATAACTTAATCTTATGGATTAAGATTATCAGCTTAATAACTGATCAATTTTTGGTAATATACTTAGCCTATTTCACATTCTTTAGCTTAGCTCCTTAATTTTTTATTCACATAAAATATACACATTTTAAAGAATAGTCACACAGTGAGTGTTCATGTAATTACCAGCCAGGTCAAGATATTATGTCTGCACCCTGGAAGCATGCCTCTCCCTGATGACATCCTTCACATTTTTCCAAACCACTATCCTTATTTTAGGGATAACCATTCCCTTAATTTTTAACTACTTATGACTGAATGCCTATAGTTTAGTTTTACACTACATTTTTTGACTTGCTTCTTTCATTTGATGTTTTTGAGTTGTCTGTGCTTCTATAATTCACTCTCACTGCTGTATAGTGGTACATTTAAGACTCTTATTAGTATTAGCATTAAGTCTAAAGATCATTTAAGGAGAATTATCCTTATAATATTGAATCTTCAAATCCATGAACATGGATAGTTATCCATTTATTTATAAAAATTGTCAACAGTTTTGATCATTTTCTCTAAAAAGTTCCCTCACATCTTTGTTGGAGTTACATTCCTTGGTATTTCCTAGTTTTTGATGCTTTTATCTTTTTCCCCCATAGATACTCTGTACTTTTTTTTAAAATTTAATTTTCTGTTGATTACACAGATGCAACTGACTTTGCATACAATAGTCCCCCTTTATCTGCTGTTCCACCTTTTGTGGTTTCAGTTACCTGCAGTTAACCATGGTCTGAAAACATTCAACAGAAAATTCTAGAAATAAACCAATTCATAAGATTTAAATTATATGACATTCTGAGTAGCAAGGTAAAAATCTCACACCATCAGACCCATGACATAAATCATCCCTTTGTCCAAAGTATCTACACTTTCTGCATTAATCATTAACAGGGTATCATATGGTCCTGATATTTAACCAGCATAGCTTCATGATCTAGATTACTGAAAGCAGATGATCCTCCTCCTCCTGATGTATGGTCAGACTATCAATAATAGCTTAATGCTATGTCACAATGCCTAAGTCATTCACCTCATTTCATCTCATCACATAGGCATTTTATCATCTTACATCATAAGGGTAAGTGAAGTACAATAAGATACTTTGAGATACCACATTCACATAATTTTTATTACAGTATTTTGTTATAATTGTTCCATTTTATTATTCTTATTCTTATTGTGCCTAACTTACAAATTAAACTTTATCATGGGTATGTATGTATGTATAAAAAACACAGTATGCATAGGATTCAGTAATATCTGTGGTTTTAGGCCTCCATAGGGGTTGTTGGCATTCTCTGTGAAGAGGGGGTGGTTACTCTATACACATTTTTTAGATTTATCAGCTCTACTACTTTTTATCTCAATTGCTTATCTGTATATTATTTTGTGTACTCTAGGTACATAAGTTCCTAACCTGTGAAAAATGACATTTGTGTTTTGTCCTCTATCACCCACCTACCCATCCATTTTTTTTTTTTTCACCTTACTACTCTGCCCAGGACTTCCAATATGTTTGTATACATAAGTGGGCAAATGGATGGACACTATTAACTCTATCTCAGAAGGAACATTCCAGTGTTTCATTATTAAATATAAAACCTGGTATAGGTTTTATATACTATCCTTGATAAAGTTCCTTTCTTTCAAACTTTTATTTTAGGCCCAGGGATACGTGTGCAGGTTACATAGGTAAACTACGTGTCTAGGGAGTTTGGTATACTGATTATTTTGTCACCCAGGTAATAAGGATAGTTTCCAATGGATACGTTTTTTTTTTTTTTAATCCTCTCCCTTTTCTCAGTCTCCACCCTTAAATAATCCCCAGTGTATGTTGTTCTTTGTGTCCATGTGTTCTATCACTTAGCTCCCACTAACAAGTGAGAACGTGCAGTATGTGGTTTTCTTTTCCCGAATTAGTTTGTGTAGGATAATGGCCTCCAGCTCCTTCCATGTTGCTACAAAAGACATGATTTCATTTGTTTTTATGGCTGCATAGTATTCCATGGTGTATATATACCACGTTTTCTTTATCCAGTATACTGTTGATGAGCATTTAGGTTGATTCCATGTCTTTGGTATTGTGAATTGTGCTGTGATGAATGTATGAGTACATGTGTTTTTACTGTGGAATGATTGATAGTCCCTTGAATACATACTGAATAATGGGATTGCTGAGTCAAGTAGTAATTCTGTTTTAAGTTCTTTGAGGAATTGCCACACTGCTTTCTACAATGGCTAACTCATTTACATTCCCACCAGCAGTGTATAAGCACTCCCTTTTCTCTGCAACCTTACCAGTAACTGTTATTTTTTGACTTTTTAATGATAGCCATTCTGATGCCTGTGAGATGGTATCTCCCTGTGGTTTTGATTTGTGTTTCTCTAACATTTAGTGATGCTGAGCATTTTTTTCACATGCTTGCTGGATACGTTTGTCTTCTTTTGAGAAGTGTCTGTTCATATCCCTTGCCCACTTTTTAATGGGGTTGTTTTCTACTTGTAAATTTCTTTAAGTTCCTTATAGATGCTGGATATTGGACCTTTGTTGGATGTATAGTTATATTTTCTCCCATTCTGTAGGCTGTCTGATTATTCTGTTTAGTCTCTGTTGCTGTACAAAAGCTCTGTAGTTTAATTAGGTCCCGTTTGTCAATTTTTGTTTTTGTTGCAATTACTTTTGGCATCTTTGTCATAATCTTTCCCAGGTTTTATGTCCAGAACAGCATTTTGTAGGTTATCTTCCAATGTTCTTATAGTTTTACATTTTAAGTTTTTAAATTGATGTTGAATTGATTTTTGTGTATGTTGTAAGAAAGAGGTCCAGTTTCAATCTTCTGCATATGGCTAGTTATCTCAGCATCATTTATTGAAGAGCGAGCCCTGTCCACATTGCTTTTGTCAACTTTGTTGAAAATCAGATGGTTATAGAACTTATTTCTGGGTTCTCTATTCTGTCCCATTGGTATATGTGTCTGTTTTGGTAGCAGTACCATGATGTTTTGTTTACTGTAGCCTTGCAGTATCATTTGAAGTTGAGGAATGTGGGAAGCCTCCATTTTTGTCATTTTTGCTTAGGATTGCCTTGGTGATTTGGGCTTTTTCTGGTTCCACATGAATTTTAAAATAGTTTTTCTTAATTCTGTGAAGAATGTAGTTGGTAGTTTGACGGAAATAGTACTGGATCTGTAAATTGCTTTGACAGTATGGCCATTTCAACAATATTTATTCTTCCTGTCCATGAGCATTAAATGTTTTCCATTTGTTTGCGTTATCTCTGATTTGAACAGTGTTTTGCAATTTTTGTTGCAGAGATTTTCCACCCCCACCTCCGATTAGCTGTATTCCTAGGTATTTTATTCTTTTTGTGGCAATTGTGGATAGGATTGTGTTCTTGATTTGCCTCTCAGCTTGAATGTTGCTGATGTATAGGAATGCTACTGATTTTTGTATATTTATTTTGTATCCTGAAACTTTGCTGAAGTTGTTCATCAGATCTAGGAGCTTTCTGCAGAGATTATGGGGTTTTCTAGATATAGAATCGTATCACCTGCAAACAGAGATAGCTGGACTGTTCCTATTTAACTCGTTTTATTTCTCATGCCTGACTGCTCTGGCCAGGACTTCTTGAAGTCATTTTTATGCTTAGCTAACTCTTGACACAAATCCATGCAGAATTTTACCAAATGCATTCTATATATCTGTGCAGATATGACTAATCTGCATATGTGGTAGAAAAAAATTCATGAATTGTATAGTGTCAAATCAATCTTATATTCTTTGGAAGGTCCTAAATTGGTTTCGATATATTATTCTTTTCATAATCTGAAGGATTTGCTTTATATATCTCTGTGTATATATAGTTAATTCTGGCTAATTGTTATCATTTGGTTCTATAAAGTGACCATGAATGTTGAATTAATGAATGCTGAACAATG